ATATTCATTTTTAATAATTAAAATAATTCAGGATTAGTATGTGTAAAATTTTTAGTCATAGTTTTCACTTTGCCCTTATAAGTAACATAGTATACGGCACTGGCATTAATATATTAGATTAGTCCGAGGTCTCATCGAGACTCAGTGGCCGTGCGGTTTAAGTGGTTGCGTCAAGGACTTCTGGAATGCGTCTGGGGCGGGGGGATCGTGAGTTCGATCCCACATGCGAGCGGATTTTTCATTATAAGCGTTACATAAAATAATAAAATTACTATTTAAGGTATTTGTCGCGCGACTGGTCACTCTCAAAAGTTTGTATCCGTTGACTGTACTTATGAAACGATTATGAATGCGAGTTTCCGAAAAACTTTTGCGGACGTACAGTTTGACACACAGATGTTCTCAATGTATATTTATAACCTCTCGCATGAAAAACGATCGTGGCAACGTCGCAAGTTTGGTGTATGGCCGTCTTTAAAATTTCGCGCCAAAAGTAGCAGACAAGCTGTAGTATTTAACAAGCGCTATTGCCACGTTTACGAATTCACCTGTCATTTACAGTAAATGTTAAAATAATTTTTCAAGTTTGATGTTAAATATCTTTTAAACAAGACGGTGAAAAATTTTCATTTTTTTTATAAAAGTTCATTTTGGTTCAATAAATAAAACTTTAGTTTTTCTAAAAAATCTGTCGATTAGTATAAGTGCAAAAATTAAAAATCTGTGGTTTTCATATGGTTTTCCTATACCGTACATGTGAAAAATCGAAACTTTGATTTCATTTTTTGAGACTTACAGACGGTCAATTTTATTTTAATAGGCCTTATTTTGTAGATAAATATCCAAAGAATAATTATGTGAAATTTAAAAAAATTCTGTCGAAAACGAATTTACGCGACAAATACCATAATCTGTATAATTAATAATAAGTGTTGTGAAAAAAAACTTGTGAACTTGTTTGTAAATAATATTAAAAGTCTGTTAAAAATGAAGTTAAAAAATGTACCAATTATCACAAATTGTCTTTTTTTGCTCAAATTATTTTTCAATATTATTATGTTAAATGACATTTATTGTTAGTAATATGATATTTATATGAAAATAATATAATTATTATAATAATAACTTATTGTCATTAAATATGTAAATACATATATATTAATAACAATACTGTTTATTATTAATAATAATAATTAATATATTCACGTTATATTGAATGAACGCGTGAGAAGCGTGTAAATTTGGGAACAGTGGAAGCAGTCTTGTTCAGTCCTGCTTTCGGCTTCCGCAGCATTGATTGAAGATTGAACGCCAGTCTTCAACAAAGACTGAGCGTCAGGTTTACATCGGTGTTACTATTCCGGATTGAAGCAGCCTTGCTTTCGCTGTCCCACCAATCTTCAACCAATACTGACCAACCCTCAATCAAGCTTCGTAAAGCCTGAACTCACTGTCAGCTCGCGCCTGGGAAATTAATGAAAACCGCATGATTCGACTTGTCAAAACATGTGGATTGATAATAAAAAATAAAAAAAAATTAAGATTTTGCTCCAAAATTACTAAATTGCGAGTATCTCGAAAACTGGAACCGACAATATGGGCCCTTTTCATGTGGACGTCCACATATGTTGATTGAAATCCATGTAATTATTTAAACTAAATCATTCTATTTTGCGATTTAAAGTCGGCACTTTAAATAAAAAATTACAAATTTTGGTACGTAAATTGGTCACTAATTTTTCTTTTTTTGGTACGTAAAGTACGTAATTTTCAATGCCAAAAGTAGTTCGAGGCCTGTATATTTTATTTATATTGCTTGTTACAAATTAATATGAATTAGTTTGTAACATGCCTAATAAAATAAAATAATCAGTTAAAAAACTAGAAGATTTTTAAACAAACAAAAATATAATACCTATATATTTAAACCGATTAAATAAACTTAACAAAATATTTTATTTTATTTAAATACATTTTTTCTTTGTACACGGAGAAACTTTTTCTTCTAATATTGAATATATTTGGTTAGCTTTATTCTAAAAGTACGTTAGAATGTGAGGATTTTTCGTGCGTTGTGCTAATAATTTTAACATTAATACGAAAATATGATAAGTTCGTTATATATTAAGCAACCTTCGGTGTACAAAAATTACTATCTGCATTAGAAATAGTCTTATTTTTCTTTAGAAAAGAATAAAATGCTAGTTTTTGTTTGTGAAATAATACGGTAATTCTAACCTTTTTTCCACATATAGATAGAATATATAACAGACATTCTAACGTAACATACCAATTTTGGAAGGACTGCGGGCGGACTTAACCGATTTCGCCCGAGCATCACCGAGTCCATCACCTGACGTCGCGAACTAACCCTAATGTTTTCGAAGTTGAAATTCACACGTGTATGAAAGAAAAAAACCTTTTATTAATAAACGTGAATGTCTCCTCATGCCAAATTAAATTCAAGAACTGTTCCTCAATATAACATAATTTTTTTCACGACTTTTACTTATTTACATAATTTGATTAGTAAGTTATTTTAAAAAATGCTCTCTCTCGAAGGCACATATTTTTCCACTCGTTTAATATATAAGGACGATTCAGCTGTGTACTTCTAACGAATCGTGCGATCTTTCGGTTTCCGTGACCAATCGTCGTGTCTTTACTTGCGTGTGCGTGTGTGCGTTAATAATATAGGTTAGGTTCTTACGTCGTGTTAAATATATTTACCTACAGTTACAGTGACATACACTAATGCCATCTACCATCAGATCCAAGTATCACTATCGTCTCTATGAGTATCTATAGACAATTAATTTGTTGTGTTTCTTTTTAATTCATGGCTTTCCCAACTTTGCAAAAACTATTATTTTCTTTCTAAAACAACATACTAATTTTCGTTAGTTTCCTTATGAAGAACTGTAAAATATATACTGAATGAGTGTTTTTGATAGTCTCAATAGCAATTTCTATAACCTATGTCGTTTTTCCCTTGAATCTAACCTAACATACTAAAATGTCTCACCAGTTTTAAGAATTAGTGGTATTAAAAGTTTCTCCGTGTATAGAACAAAATATTTGGTTAAAAAAACCAAAAAATTTAGTTGAATGCAATAATAACGCATTTGATTCGTTCAAATAAAAACATTCAATTAAAAAATTTTCTTGAATTAAAAAACACGTTTGGTTAACTGTATAGCAATGCATTTATTTGTTTGATTCAACCAAAAGTTTGTTGTTTCAAATAAACTTTTTTCTGAGTGATTAATTAAACAGAATAAAAAGATCGTGCAACACTTGGACCTCAGATGTGACGCGTTCGCATAAATTCAAAATACGCACTCTGTAGGACAACAAATTCAATATTTCGGTTAGTTTTAAAGTCTCCATGAATTTTTTTTTTGCAAAAATTCCGGAGAATATAAGGAATCCAAATATCATGATTACAACAAATTCGAAAGGGTGCTTTGCCTGAGAAAAAAAAATCAAAATTTTTTTTACTTTTTTTGGGGCAATTTTGGTATAACAATTGAGGCTCCCAATTCAAGAACCGGTCGGACGCTCGGACGACACGCGCAGCTGCCAGTCAGTGAGCAGTGAGCGCCTCTGGGCCACTCACTGCTACCCGACTAGTACTAGCGCGTGTCGTCCGAGCGTTCGACCGGTTCTTGAATTGGGAGCCTCAATTATTATTAGCTGCATAAAATGAACAAAATTGATTGAAACGTCTCAGAGTTATGTATATTAGGTATTTAAAAAAAATTACTTTAAACTTTAATGCTCGGTAAACCACAAAATTCTGAAAATTTTTGAAAAATTTTATTTCCTCTTTCTTCTCTTACACAACACTTCATTTACACCAAGTTTTAGAAGAATCGACAGACCCATTGCCAACATTGATATTTTTGAGAAAATTTGACCCATCTAAAAATTATATTAATAGGGTAAGTGTGTCAATTGTGGCGGGTGCTCCAATTATGGCGACTTTGTAAAAAATAGAATTATTTACTATTTTAGAATAATATAGTTATTTGAAAATGATAGAAAAAGTTATTTTCGACCTTACTCGATATAATTGTACGAAAAAAAACACATTTGAACTATTATTGGTTTAATTATTTAAGTACAAAAATTGTGCCCCGCCATAATTGTCACATTTTCATTGAATGTGCGTGCTCCAGTTATGGCGCGCAACACAACCTCTAAATACACGTTATTTTCCCCGCCGTAATTGGCGCGCCGAAATTGACTCAACCGCGCCATAATTGACGTTTTTAATCCTAATTCTTATTGCTTTAATTTTGTTTAAATAATTAATTTTTATAAAGTTTTTATAAAAGTTTTATTATCTATATGACACGGGCTTTTAGTTTAATAAGCCATAAATTTACTTCTTTCATTATAATTTTTGAATTTTCTATTTCAAAGACGGCTAAACCAGAACCGCGCCATAATTGGCACACTTACCCTATCTGATTTTAGTTTTACACAATTAAACAAAAACTCTTAACAAAAGTAAAAAGATCATAAACATAACCTGAAAATGATTTGCTTCTTAGACAAAATCTAAAAAAATTTGATTAAATGCAACAGATTTTAAATGCATTTTTTTGGGTATAATCAAATAAATTTTAGATATTTATTAAAATGAACCAAATTACAATTTGGTTCAGTGAAAAAAACTTTTTCCCTGAGTGAGCTACAGCATATTTAAATAAGAGGTATATAATTTAACTGGAATCCAAATTCCCTACATCCTTCAAGATCAAATTTTCATTTAAATGATTAGAAAACCCACACGCAAAACAATTTTTATAAAAAACTTATAAACTAAGTAGTTATTAAGATTGAAATTAGAGCTAGAAGGACTAATTAGGATAAAAACATGCAGAGAAGCCCGCGATCTAATGTACATTTTACGTTCTTCAGAGAGTGTGGTGATCTCGTATTCTCCAGGTAAGGCTAGATTTACAAGTGCGATCAGTTCGTGAACCGGTGTAAGGCGCGCACCAGTCACTCGCCGGTCTCTGGTGGAGTAGGTTGTTTGAAGTATATTATATTAATATCGAAAGTAAAATTTAATCAGAGACTTATTAAAAATGTGTCTGTTTGCAAATGATGTTCCATAGGTGCGTTACGGATAAAAATGTTGTTCAAAACTAATATTTCAAGTTTGAGTTTCTGAAAAATGGGTAGAAGTGAAGCGCGTTGGTTCGAGATTTAAAAAATTCCTATGTAGACGCGATCACGGCGTTTTTCACTGTGCGGTCTGTGCTGTGTGTATAAAACCTATATCCCCTTTCCTCAACGAGTGTTTGTTTCCTATGATCACCTGTTGCTGCTTATGCGATTCTTGTGTTACATTGGATTACTTGATTACATTACAACACCTACGGCTGCAGGATGTCATTTTGACACCGTAAGAATTATTCTTTTGGTGTTGCTTCTTTGAAAGGTAAACAAAAACAAATGTGCTCTTCATGCTTCTGGTCAGCACGTTTTTCATTATTTGACAGAAAATGAATTTAATGAGACCAGTAACGTAACTAAATAGTTCCTGCGGTGTTAGATCAGCTTGCATCAGGTTATCCCAATGCATCTTTCATCTTTAAGAATAACAAAAAAATTACATAAAATTTATTCATGAGCTTTTTTACCAAGTTTCAAATTCCGTAAAAACTTTATAGTTTTTGAAAAATTCTTTAAAATTTTTTGGACAATTTTAGAATTCTACAATAATTGAAGGTGTTTACTTCTTAATGCTTCTTCAAAAAAGCTTTGTTATTTCGAAGTGACTATTTGGCCCGCCAGGTAAGAAAATAAAAGCGGGCCAAATAGAGAGTGGTATATTATTTGGCCCGTCACAAATAAAAATTGCTTTTTTTATCTGATCTTCAGTTAATAATAAAATTAACTATAAAAGAAATAATAGTAAGTGCATTAACATATTTTATGCTTTTTATATCGTGAATTAATTTTTTTTTTTGCTTTAAGAATGTAAATAATATTTTTTTTGTGTTATTAACCTTAAAACACTCATGCGTAAAAAAGTGGTAAACATCCCAAAAATTGTCTTTATTAGCGGGAATTTTAAATCAAAATTTTTCTCGTTGTTAGATCAAAATTATTTGTTCAATTTATATTCTTTTTTGAAATCATATTAATTTGCAAAAATTGTAATATACATTTCATAAAGTCAAGATGAATGAAAACCTTTCCAATCGTCTTCTTTTATATTCTTGAAATAATCATTAATAACAAAAGTTTTACACCCAGAAAAAAGGTTCTTTGAATCAATGAAATTTGTGCATTGTTATAGGGTCACAAAAAAAGTTTCTTTGTTTTAATGAAATTATTTCTTTAACTGTTTTTTGTTAACTCAAAGAAATATTTCTTTGGATTTAACAAATCTTTTTTTAAGTCAAAGACATAAATAAATCAAAGAGATAATTCCTTTAAATGTTCTTGGCCATTTATTTGTCTTAAAGAAATTTTTCTTTGGATCAAAATTTCTTCTAAAAGTAGTTTGATTAAAAAAAATAAATATTTTATTTAAAAAAATATATATAGTAAACACAAATATTATTGTAAAACAATAAATGATATTATAACATAATAAATATAATATTCAATGTTATGGTTTCGTGAAAACTGTTATTTGAAAAGAATTGTTATACTAATTATAATAAATATACGAAAAAAGTTTTTTGTTATTTCTCTGCGTTAACAAAAAACAGTTAAAGAAATAATTTCTTTAAATCAACGAAACTTTTTTGACCCTATAACAATGCACAAATTTCGTTGATTCAAAGAAACTTTTTTTTGAAACAAAGAAGCTTTTTCTGGGTGTAAAACTTTTGATACATTAAAATTTCTACATTATAAAATATAACATTCTCTACATAATATTATGATAAAGCACATTGAAAATACTTAATATTTATTAGTATAATTTAAAATATATTTTAAAAGTTTCCAGAAAAATATTATTAAAATGTGTAAATTTTGATGGACAATCAATTAACACTATAAGAAAAAATATTTTATTATTACTTATTTTGAGCACTAACTAACTCTTAAGTTTCAAAATTAATTTTTATTTGAATTACTTATCATAAATTAATTATTATTTCAAGAATATAAAAGAAGGCGATTAGAAAGGTTTTCATTCATCTTGACTTTATGAAATGTATATTACAATTTTTACAAATTAATATGATTTCAAAAAAGAATATAAATTGAACAAATAATTTTGATCTAACAACGAGAAAAATTTTGATTTAAAATTCCCGCTAATAAAGACAATTTTTGGGATGCTTATCACTTTTTTACGCATAAGTGTTTTAAGGTTAATAACACAAAAAAAATATTATTTACATTCTTAAAGCAAAAAAAAAAATTAATTCACGATATAAAAAGCAAAAAATATGTTAATGCACTTACTATTATTTCTTTTATAGTTAATTTTATTATTAACTGAAGATCAGATAAAAAAAAGCAATTTTTATTTGTGACGGGCCAAATAATATACCACTCTCTATTTGGCCCGCTTTTATTTTCTTACCTGGCGGGCCAAATAAGTTACTTTTATTATTTGGCCCGCTTTGAAATATTAAAAAAAGCAGGTGGGCCAAATAAAAAAAGTAGCTTATATTGCCCGGCGACGGGCCAAATAGTCACTTCGTTTTAAAAATGGTGAAAAATTAAAATTATTTTTGAATTACTGAGATCGAAATCAATTTAAAAAAATCACAAATGAAAATTCACAATAAAATAAAGTTTTTTATAAGGAATTGATATAAAAAAATTAAAATAATACAAATTTCATTGCCTCTCGAAAGTGTCTAGGTACTGATGCTTTTACCTAAAAGAACTTTTTTTAAAATGAGATTATTTTTCTTTAGTGAGGCTGGATGTAGTCCGTAATGTTCTTTAAAACGAAAAATTGGAAATTCATTTTTTTAAGTTAATTTTCATAAGGGATTAACTTTTAATTTTTTAAATATAAGGATCAGAGAAGAAGGAATTTTATTATTTATTTGCTTTTTAAGATTGGGGGTTTATATAATAATATTAAGAGGGTGATCTTCAAATTCTTGTGAGAATAATCATATTAGTTTATGTAATTTGTGAGGCGATGGTAGTATAACGATTAGTGTTATTTAAAAATTATTTAACAGTATCAATTAAATGAATTCATTTTAGAGGACAGTTACACACAAATAATTTAAATTTGATCCGAAAATAATAATTATTACTTTTCGTTTTTAAAAACGTTGCTGACTTCAGCCTCACAATTTTCCAGTTTTACTCAAAATTCAAATTATTTTTTAAATATTAATCATTTTTTAATGTTGTTGAGCTTATTTCAATGCAATAACCGTTCGAACGCGTGGACGTACGCGCTCATATCAGTCGGACATCAGTGACCGGGCCAGAAGCGCCCATTGCTTCCCGACCTGAATTAGAGAGAGCGTCCGCGCTCTCAACCGGTTATTATGTATTAAACTATTTCTGAAATAAAGCAAAGAAAATAAAAAAATGATTAATTTTTAATCGTTTGAACTTCAATTTACAAATACATTGCGAATTAAAAACTTAATAACAAACACCAACACAAATTAATAATTTAAAATGCTTAATTTACAAAATTTAAATGCATTTTAAAAACCCAAATATTTTATACTTAAGTTTTTACAGTTTTTGTTTGTTAATTATTGTCAAAAATTCCTAAACAATATAAGAATTTTGAATTCCTATTTTTTTCTTTACCTTTTTCACCTATCTTAAAATAAAATAATATAACTTCAATTTTAATTATATATCAGAATTAACAATAAAAGATTTTGAATTTTTGTAGATAAAAATCCATCAAAACTATATTTTATAATCGGGTCGGGAATTTTTAAAAAAATGCGGTCTGGAAAATCTGAAAAAGTTGTGGAATTTAAAATCATACTTTGTGGCAAGCCTGATTATATAAAGAAAATGTAACATTTTATTTTATTTCAACGACTTGATGAGATGTATATGGCTTTATTTAACTTTATACGATATATATTGTATTAATTACTGTATTTTTAATGGTTGTCCTCGTGGTATTTACCTAGGACATAATAAATATATTCTATTCTATTCTATTCTATTCTATTCTATTCTATTCTATTCTATTCTATTCTATTCTATTCTATAATTGCAATATTTTGAAAAAACATTGGAATGTATGAATAGCTAAAAAATAAATAATATATTAAATTAGTCCACTAATAATCTAATAATCGCGCCATTATTATTGCCATTAAAAGTATACTTATTTATGATATATTTAACCTCTTATTATACACTGACAATTGAAAAAATGATTATTATTATCAATATTATTAAGGGTTCCTACAGAACCTCGAAATTGTGAAGAAGGCCTGATATTTTTCAAGTTCCCTTTCTTCTTTTTAGTAATTTCAAAATTTAATAAATACTATTTTATCACATAATTTTTTATTATTTTCTCAAAATTTCAAAATTTTTTAGACTCACAATTTTTGAAATTGTAAAATTCTTTCATGCAGTTTTTTAAATTTTTGTGCCAAAACATACAATCTTATTTTTAAAGAATGCGCTAAACTTTAAATTAACTTTAAAGACGTAAAAGTTATATATATATTCAAAACTTTTAAAAATATTACCTGAAAACCCTGAAAAAATCTAGAAATTTGAATCTTTTTTTGTAATAGGAACTCTGTATTTAAAACACTTTCTATATTTAAAATAATTACGTTTTTATAGCATGAGAAGATAGAGCAATTTAGGATTCATATTAAAACTATATTGAACTGTTTTACTATAGCCATTTAAAATATAAGTTTACAACTTTTGATTCTAGTTCGGTTATGTTTTAAAAAATTAATGTTTTATTGCTTCCTCATAAAGGAAGCTTTGTATTAGCAAAATTTTGGATTGTCATTTTTTGACATATTTATAAATTTTTTTTTATTATGCCTAATACTTTAGTACTTTATATATGCACAGGAACTCCCCGTATAAATGTTCTAAATAAATAAAAAAAAATTTCGACGTATTTTGAACTCAGAAGTCCAAAAAACGGATTTTAAAAAAATTTGTCCCGATGGGTGTGTGTGTGTGTGTGTGTACTAACATTACATTTGCCTCAATATCTCAGAACGAGAAAGAGCTAAAGGCCTCAATTTTTTTTAAATTGTAGGTCTCCCCGGGGGACATAAAATGAGAGTATTTTCAGCCCGATCCATGAAGTTTAACTATTTTTTTTTTGCATTTTTCATTTAGTAAAAAAACGTTTTTTGGACATAACTTAAAAAAATGGAAGGACACTTATAAATCTTTTTCTTTAGTTTTGTAGAGTTTTTTCACACGCATCTTTTGAGCCCTATTTGAACATTTTTCGTCCATATTAACCGGAGATATTAAACTTTTAAAAAT